CACACACACACACACACACACACACACACACACACACACACACACACTTTCCTTGGTGGTGTCAATGGAGGATTTTCATCATATGACAGCTGAGTGGAGAATGGCAGAGAGATGAAGTCAATCCCCCACCCTTTACTCATCATTTAATCGTCGGTTATTAGTTTCCAACAGCTTCCTCTGCTCAGGCAGCAGATGTCATTGCTTCTCTCACACAGATCGACAGTGCAGAGGGACAATTATTGGGAAAAGTGTGTCACACCCATTTGGCCAAGATAAATGTACTCCTATTTTTACCAGAGCAGTTCATTGACTACAATGCTACAGTATTCAAAGAACAACCTGCTGTGTGTGATGTTCCTGTTAAAGGAATGAAAACAGAGCAGAGTGAAGACTGAGAGGGGAGCGGAACTTACTTTGACGCCATCCGCTTTTTTGTTCAGCAGGCTCTTGGCTGCTGTTGAGAAAAAGATAACAATGCAAGGAAATCAGTGTCCAGCTAGAATTAACATGTAAACACACACACACACACACACACACACACACACACACACACACACACAGTATATTAAAAGCTGGCCAATTACTAGCAACCTGAAAGTGGGCCCTGCTAAGATTGAAAGCGGAAGAGAAAAATGCAAATCAACTTTGTGAATCATTAGCCTGGAACTTTCAATCAGATCCGTCTGAGCTGTTTAGCTTCTCTTTCTCTTTCTCTGCAGACTTTCACTCAACATGAAGATGCTACAGAAACCTCCATGACATGTAAGGAGGGAGCTAAAATCATGCGTTTCTTTCGGTTTTGTTTAAAACCACCAGCTTTTCAGTTAACAAGCAATATCAGTCTGAGACACAAGCAGATGATTAGTGTCGGCAGGGAGAGCTGCACGGTGGTTCCATGCATCCTCTTACAGTCAGAGGTGTTTATTAACACGAGGGAATGGCCCTTTAGCAGCCATATTTTAGGAACATTTGTTTTACCATAGTTATGACTCAAACGAAGTGTTCAATTCATAATACAAGGTACTAAAAATCACCCACTGTCCCAGACATTATAGACACTGTACCAGCGGTTAGACAGAAGGATCCCTGGTACTGTACATAACTAATAATTAAATACATTTAACAAACTAGTCTTAGTATATATATACACCTTTAAATAATGTGTACAAATATATAAACACATTATTATACAGGTGTTACATGTATACATCTGTAATACTGTATCATTATTGTAGCATTAGTATTTACATATTCAAATGATTATTCATATCACTAATTATAATTATTATGTGTATAATATTCTATACAGCTTCACTACATGAATATACACAAATACATTATTAAATACACATGACTAATAATAAGATAGAAATGATAAGTCATATTTACTATTATTAATTATAAGTAAAAGTTAACTTTTGTCTTATAAAATATACAAATCGTGGTTCTATAGCAATAAAATATATAGATTTGGGCCTATATTCATAAAAGGGTATTGTGTCAATAGAAGCTAATTGCACAACCTACCAAAATCCATACTGAGTAGTATGCTTTTATTGTCCACCACCTTCTGCTTTTTCCATAAGCAATTTAGACATTTTGGAATTTTGATACATAAAATGTTTACTTTTCCTTCAATATCCACCAATGGATGCCTCATGTCAGCTGAGAGCCCAATACTGGTGCTTTAGTAAACATGCATCAGTACCAAACCTCACTGTGAAAAAGAGGTCTTACCTTACATGAGTTACCACACAGGGGAAGGAAGAAAAAGACAAAAGTTAACACTATGGTCACTGTCATAACACGGCCAACTGAACGTACAAAAAACATGGACTTGAGTAAAGCAAATGTAATCTTGACTCATTTGTCATACAGAGAAACATCAATACTGTTCCACTCGGTTTGAACATCTTGCCCTTTAGAGGGACCTGAAGATGGGACTGCATCGATCTGTCTGGTCTCTCGGTCTCTGTTGATAGCAACTGAAAGAGCTGATTTGCTGCCCTCAGAATAGCAGCATTTAAACAATACATAAAAACATAAAGACAGAGTTAAGGAGGTGTCAGCAGGGCCTAGCAGGACAGCATGTAGCACGGTCTTGTAAGAGACCAATATTTTAGAAAGGACTAGCAGGACATCAGTCTTCATTGGTTCAGTCCTACCTGAGAAGTTGCGAGTGGCCAGCATAGTAGTCAGGATAGCACCCTAGGGAGAGAGACATGGACACTAAGAGGGACAAACTCCTTTGTTTACATTGCCTAAAACGTTAGTGATTATTGATCATTAATTATGATTATTGTGATTCTGCCTATGACTTTATAGCATTTATCAGAGCTAAGTGGATCAGCATTTTTAAAGAGAAGACCAAATCTATTAACTTTCACATCAGAGTTGAATGCAGCATGTGACCAGGAGGTCGTCTGATGGATTTGCCCCATCTTGAATAGTTGGCACTCACCTTGAGTTTCCTTCTCGCGTTAAATTTCTTCAGGCACTCCACAGTTTCCTGTCTGTGCATCATGGAGGCCACCGTGGAGCGTTGCTGTAAACACAGAGACACAGTGTTCGGTGTTATAAGGTTTCTCCACAGGCATTTCTTTTGTTTGGAGAAGAGCTGTTTGATTGCATGTAGTGATGACTGAAAGAGCGGATGTGAAAGTGTGTGTGTGTCTGTGTGCGACACCTACACAGATCCAGGGGTGTTTGAGTGCATCAGTGGCGGTCACTCTCTTGGCTGGATTAATGGTGAGCATCTTGTTGATCAGGTCTTTGGCTTCTGGAGTCACTGTGTCCCACTCAGGAGAAGGGAACTGTTCGGGGAATGACGTTACAAAAAAACAATTGTAACGTCTCAACAACCACTTAAAGTGTTATCTACTACCTGGATTATGTCTCCATGTGATTTAACAAGATTAGTATTTATTAAGACATTATAAAGTGTTGTTAAAATGCCATTCACACCATTCTTTTTCATTCACATGTACAGAAACAAGTAAGTTGAGGTGTGTATATATATACGTATATATATACATATATACATACATACATACATACATACATACATATACATATACATACATACATATATACATACACATACA